GTACTTGGGCATGGACACTTCGCCCCAATTCTGGTGTGAGTACTTGGACAATCAGTTTGTTCACATCAGTCCCAGCGAGAATCATATTCTGGCACCAAATGTGAACACAGCCTTAGACACGAAAGTCTTCCAACAGTAAACCCTCCATTCTAAAGTATTTCTTTATTTGTTACACAATAAATCTTACGTTATAGGGTTGTCACTATTGAACTTGTTAGGAGGTTTGTAAACTTCTGTTCAGTTCATATTGGAATGCTTCAGTTGGCAGAATACATTTTATTAAATTTAAATGAAATCCTCGGCGATATCACCGACTTAAGAAGCGATCGATCTCGTCCATAACTGTACTGACATTAGCCTCGCACACTGTCTTGTGAACCTGTGGTCGGCTGATTGCATTTTCGAGTCTTCTGTGCGGCGCAGGCTTGGTAGCGACTTTTCTTAAGCTTGCAAACAACTCCACAGGGTCATGTGATGTTGGCAACTGCCGTAACCCCTTGAGTACGTCATGAGCAAATTTACTGTAGTGTGCCGTGGCGGAAATTATAAGCGGTTGGTTAGAATCAACAAAGCGGTCAGCCACGTCTTTAGCCACTGCCGTGTGAGTGTCCAGGACATAGCCAGTTTGTTCAAACGTAGATCTAATGGTGTCCAAACACTTGTCTTCTGTTGTCCAGTCAGCTTTGAATACTGATGACAACTCACCCCTGAGGTCGTCAGAAATCTGTAAGGAAATTACAAATAGCTGAGCAATTTTGACGTCGTAGCAAAACAAAACAAACAAACAAACAAACAAAATTTGCGAATTTTTAATTTCGAGGATTGGAGATTTTCTGTGTGTCTTGAGGGTTCTTAGTTTCGCGATTGGGAGAGACGCGGTTTCAATCCGTACAAAGAAAAAACTTGCGACTTTAAAGGAGCAACGTCTTCTCCATCCTTAGCCATCCTTGTTCCTTTATGGTTTATCATTATCTCTTTAGTGTTTTTCTATTTCATTAAACGGTTATTTTCAGATTCCCTACCATTTAAAGGTAATTTCGTATGTAGCCAAAAGAACTCAAAATACCTAAGCAACCGTGTGTTCAGTGGAACTACAACATGTTCTTAACACAACGCGCTGTTAAGTTTGATTTTTGATTACGTACAATCGGAGTATTACAACTGGCGTCTTTTTTAAATTCACAAGTCAGAAAAAGAAACGAAATCGGCATCCGTTTTCAGTTTCACTGTTGTGAATAAATCTCAAAAGTTTGTACGACCTTCCCAAAGCAGCCTTTAATGTAATTTATGTATTTATTTTTTATTCATTAACTCGATACATAGCTCTGTTCGGGTGTATATTTATTGGTCAATACGTTTTATCCTGAATGCCTGATTTGTGTGATTTCTTTTACAAAAGATTTTTTTGTCTCGGCTTGTTCCTGTGCGACACGTCTTTTTGACGGCAATGACCTGGTATCGGGCATTCTCGTCCCCAGAGGCCAAGATCCTTTTGGTCAGCACCAAGAATCGCGACCTCTGGGCGGGTTTAGCACTGGAAGTTCACGATTAACTGACTTCCCGTCAAATCTGACAAATCTGAATGGCTGAGAATACGAAACCAATACTCTGCACATCCTCAACGAATCAGGTCCGACCGCGGCCTGTGGGGACGAGAGTGGATGCTGACGACCGTCACTAAATTATGCTCTTGTGTGCGCCAGTGAAAAACAGCCTCAGTTTTAGTATATGTTAGTTACCAATTACGTACCTTAAAATGCTTGTTTTCTTCTAACGATCTCATTAAACCGGCTACAACTTGTCCATTGCTCCCGGTTACGTGATAAAGTAACCTTTCCAGGTTGGACGATTTCAGAATGTCAATGGAAGGAGAGACAGTTTGGTGAAGATGTCGCTTTCCCATGTCGTATGAACCAGTGTGGAAAAAGTCTGTCAAGATGTTGTTTTCGTTTGAAGCGCAGATCAGGTTATTGAAAGGTATCCCCATTTCCTGAAAACAGAAAAGAACTTTTTTTTTACATCGAAGTATCAAATCTCCTTATAGATTGCCATACAACTTATTTTATCTTGGTATTAACAATTTGTCAGGCAGCCACCTATACTCAGGGACACCATAGTGACAGAACTGAGATTTCTGTACAGAGAACAAACGAGCAAATGGTAAATACTGAAATATAATTTATAGCGATCCGTTGCAACTGGGGCATGACCCGAGAGTAGGTCTGGAGTTACACCACAATTTTCGAAACGAATGCTTGATTTCTAGCCGAAATTCCTACACTCCTTGAAGCTATATGCTAAGCTTCAAAAAGAAATTTCGTGCGAACACGGCTGCCTACTTCCTTTACGACATTCTCCCAGGCCTTCACGGTCAATCAGGATTGATTTCGATGACGTATCCGAGACTACATCACTTGAAAACGATTGAGCGAGGTGAAATATCGAGGCCTAGGAACTAGGCAAACAACACGGTATAAAACAGTGCGTTTTTTTAATACTTCAACCAACCTTGACATAGTAGGCAGCCAGAATATTGCCAAAATTGCCAGTTGGCACACATAAATCTGCCATATCACCCATAGAGATAACCCCGGATTTGACCAGGTCCAAGTACGCCGAGGCATGGTACACAACTTGAGGCAACAAGCGACCCCAGTTTAAAGAGTTGGCAGCGCTCAGTTGTACGTCATAAGAGTCTGCAAGCGTCTTGCTGAACGACTTGTCATTAAATATGGTCTTGATTGTAGTTTGACAAAAGTCAAAGTCACCTTTGACACCGATAACGCGTGTATTAGGGCTATCCGCTGAAACCATCTGAGCCTTCTGTATCTGACTGACACCCTCGTCTGGGTACAGAATGAGAACTTCTGTCCTGGACACGTCCTTAAAACCTTCTAGCACCGCGCTGCCTGTATCTCCTGACGTCGCAACCAGAATCAGACGCTTAAGATGTCCTTCAGTGACAGAATTGTGTGAAAGAGCTTCGTTGAAAAATTGTGGTGTTAGTTGCAAGGCTAAGTCTTTAAAGGAAGCCGTAGGGCCATGAAACAGCTCGTGTATATAGAACTGGTCGTTCAGTTTGACTACAGGAGCAACTGACTCGTGCTGAAAGTTAGCAGAGTATGCTTTGGAGATCATCCCGCGTAGAATCATGGGATGGAGATCGGTTGATGGTATCCAGGTTTCTAGGATTCTCAAAGCCCTTTCTTGGTAGCTACAGTCTACAAGCCTTTCCCACTGACCTGGAAAACAAAGATAATATAGTAATGCGAGATGTCAATGACAAACGTTATTTGTTTACCAGCTAGCGTGTGTCAGAGGGCAGCGGGGCGAGATCCCGGGAGAATAGAGCCCCGATAGGAAAGAGCGGGAAGTGGGAGTTCTAATATAAGCAGGTGGGAAGAGAGAGAGAAATGTAAAACGCTCATTTTTGTTATTTATTGTGTATTAGAATACTTTCAAAAACAAGAAAATTCGTGCTTGTATTTTGAGTCTTTTAATATTCAGGGGACGGGAGCAGGACGGAAGAGGGCAGGAGTCGGGAGATTAAGGTACGGGAAGCGGGAGAGCGGGGTACGGAAACCGGGAGTATCTGNCCCTAACCCCTCCACTCTCCCACACCAGCTAGGTGGGGGTCCGCATGTTGGCGCCTTTCGACTGTCTACCAGGAATCGTGACAATTTTATTATGACAGATTGTTCTGTGTCTACTAGCCAGAAAACGGACACTTCAACGAACTATTTCGTCGGGTACCTAAATGCTAGCATTAAACTAACTTGTATACTTCTCACCTTGAGTTAGGTGTGGTATTTTCTTTCTTGGTACATACAGTCCCCCATCTGGAGCAAGTCCCTCTAACACGACATCCAAAAACCCTGGGTTCGCGCCGTTTGTTTCCGAGTTTTCTCGCCTTGTGCTGGTGAATCCCTTGAGATGTGTTAACTCTTGCAGCCTTTTTACCGTTTTGTTGGCAATTTCTTCAATAGAATCTCCTCTAGCACAGACAACGCGAACGTCATAGCTAGATTCATAAAACTGCTTGCGATATTGAAGAATTTCACTCATACTTATTCCTGCCAAAAGAGTTTTGAAAACGTAATGAGTTGTACCACAATCAGAGAAAACTGTATACCATACATGGGTATCCAACTATAGTTAGAGAAATGTCGTGCCTTTAATTCCTAATAGAAGTGCAAGTAGTTGTCTTACAGAGCTAATCGCCTGAGAGAAGAGACTGCCTTATTTGATGCTCGTTCAGTATAGAGGATTCCATCTTACAGAGATGTTATTACTTAAGAGAGGGCCATGCTTTTGGCTTGAGAAGTGTCGCGCCTTCTTTTTTAATAGGTATATGTCTTACGCAGTTAAGAGGTCTTTCATATGTCTGTCTATTTGGTGTGTTCTGGTCTACCTTTGGGAGCTGCCTAAACCCCAGGAAGCCGAGTCTCTTTTTAGGGATGTTAGCCTTACAAGACGCTGTTACAATGCAGTCACATCACGTCATAAAGGTGCCCATAAATGCTGGTAGTTTTCTATTTAACCCTTTCACTCCCAAGATCTGACCATTAATTCCCTTTACACTTTCTTGTGTGTTGGTTCTGAGAATTAAGTGTTCTATCAACTGAGAGAATACCCTCTAGTAGATAGTTTGCTTTATTGTCATCACCTGTCTACCTGACAATGTATCGAAGTTGTAAGGAGAAGTTAGATATCGATCACCCTTGTGAGTCAAAGGGTTAACAGAGGTGACTGCCTAAGAGGTAGTGACAGAGCCTTGTTTAGGTAAGAGCTCTTCAGTTTGCTTCTGAAATGTGCTTTTCACTTAAATGAACAAAATTATGAAGTGCCTCCAAGGAAGATGACTCTACAGTGTACCTTCGTTCTGTCCAACAATACGGTTGACTTTCATCGCAGCAAGCCGATTCAAAATCTCATCATCCTCCACATCTAAGTAGACAACAATGCCGAGTGACTTGACATGGTCCATGGCTTCCTTGTGCATTGGATTGGAACCAGATAGAGAAACAACTGCATTGTCAGAAGAAAACTGCAAGAGAGCACGCCCCTCTGCCTCCACAAAGAAATCAGATCCAACTTGAAGCAACTAAATGTGACAAAAAATGTAAAATAAACGGCTCAAAACAGTTATGCAGCTTCTTGTGACTGAGATGCTAATTAAAAATTCTTGAGGCTTAATGGATAAGTTGCATGTCAGATATCATCAAAGATATTTCTTGCAAGGGAGGAGGGGCTTGGGGGGGAAGGGGTCATTGCTCAGAAACGCTGGCCTGTCCCCTACCCTCCCTCGTCCACCCATAAAGCACAAAACAGATCTTAACCTAGTTGATGATGACACAAAATAAGGGGGTACTATGCATTCAAGTTAAGCCCTCCAGCCAGATTC